TCCAGCTTGCTGCCCGGGTCCCTGCAGTTACTGGCTGATTTTTATGATTATTTATTATTGATCCCAGAGTGGGGCCTCTGGTGAGCGAGCGCCCCGTTGCGCAAGGTGCTGTACAGACACCACACGGTGAGCGCCAGGCCCTGCCCTGGAGAGTTTAGAGTAGAAATAGACCAGGGGCAAAGAGGAAACAGAAACCCAGCGAGCGGGAGTGACTTTCCCAGGGCCGCTCAGCAAACCAGTGGCAGAGCCAAAAGTAGAATCCAGCGCTCTTGCCACCCCGGACAGCACCCCGGACAACCCTGCCTCTGGATAGACACAGCATGGGCTAGAGGTCAGCGCAGGAACTCCCGTGTTCTAACAGTGCCTCTGGCACTGACTCATCCTGTGCCTCAGTTTCCCCCCTCTGTAATGACGGTGCCCTGCAGGACAGGTATTGTGACAATGCCTGTGTCATGTCTGCCGTGTGCTTTGGAGACACGTGCTACGTTTTCTTACTGTTGCAACCAGTCACCTGGGTGCAGCTTCTCTGAACCGTGGGGGCTGCCGGGCCTATCACGAGCCAAGCAGTGAGCAAATATTGCCTGCGTGCCCAGGGTCAGGAGGGTCGGCATGACGGGCAGGTTCCCGCTGCACAGCAGGAGCAGGCGCTGCGGTCGTCCAGGCCGACAAACCAAGCGATGCTGCTAGGTGTAGCCGGGACCTCGCGTGCCTTTCCCTTCTCGCACGTCCGCAGCGCACGGCGCGGTCTGTCGCTTGGCTGACGGCTCAGCCTGGGGGCTTTGGCAGGAGCTCACTGTGCTCCTTCCCAGCCGTCCCCACAAACAGCTCCAGAACACCCCTCCCCAACCCTGGCCAGCACCACATCTGGGCCGCTGCTGCCTTCACACGACACGAAGCACACGGGGCCCCGTGAAATAGCACGGGAGCTGCTTTGGCCTTTCCCACGTGTGGCATGGCCGTCGCTGCAGTGGCAGAGGAGAGAGGGAGCAGGGGGGAGGCAGGAGTAGCACCCTGTCCTGCCCACGCTGCCCAGCAGAGAGGGACAATGACCCCCCGCGATTTCCCCCACCCGAGCGAGGCGCGGCGAGGCGGCCTGCTGCTGCACAGAGGCGGATGCGGCTGCACACACAGGCAGGGCGTCGATCGCGGGTCTTTCCAGCGGACACGGACCCACATTGTTACAGCTGTGCAGGGCTCTACCCATGAGGCCAGCTTTTCCCACGGATTCTCTCATCCCAAACCTGGCCAGGCGGCTGTCCTGCTGCCGGTGCTGTTCCCAGCCGCTCTCCCAGGGCACCCAGGAGGCAGCCCCGTGCAGGGGCAGTCGCCGGGCCTTTTGATCGGTTCACGTTTGCGGGAATTGCTCTGCACCCAAACACACCTGCATGCCAGGTGAGGCGTCAGCCCAGGCCTCCTTTCAGTCACGCCGGGGGCCGTGGATCTCTGGCAGACAGATACTCACATGCGAGCCCTTCGTCGGGGGGGAGGGGAGGGGGGCTGGCCTCCCCCGGCCTTATACCCACCACCCCAGCTCCAGCACTCTGCCTGCCTGTCTGTCCATTGCAGGGCAGCAGCGAGACACGGAGCCCTGGGGTGGGGTGGAGGGGTGGCCCGTTTGCTGTGGGGCTTGGGGCTGGGCGGTCGGTGTCTTTGCGGGGGTACTTAGCACAGCAGACCTGGGCCAGGAAGGAGCTAGCACCGCCTGCCCTGGATCGGATGGGCACCGCCCCAGGGCGGACGGGTGGGTAACCGAGGGGCTCGTCACTAGGGCTGTGAAGGTGTGACCGTGTACGCGGTTAACCAATGCGCCTGGGCTTAGCAGTTTACGGTCACGGTTACACGCAGGCTCCCGGTACATCCCATACGCACTGGCTCCCGGGAAGCCGTCCCCACCCCCCATCCCCCCACCACGCTGCTGCCTTTGTAGCAGAGGCTGCAGCATGGGCGGCGCAGCGCCGGTGCGTGCGGAGTGCCAGCGTAACAGCGCTTACACGATTCCGTCCGTACACACCCTCTCACAGCCCTACCGGCACTCGGGGGCTTTCCAGGCCTGGGAGGGTTTTAGCTACGGGCACCGGGAATTGCAGGGCAGTTCCGCCCCGCCCGAGCGAAGGGCAGGGAGCCAGCCGTGGCCAGCCCCGCTGGGTTGGACGGGAACGGAGGAGAGCGAAGGCGTGTTCCTCGGCTGCGGGCGTGCGCCGGGCGGCAGGGCTGGCACCGCCTGGCTGCGGGGACGAGTGTGTCACGTCGCACGAGGCGGCGTGCGAAGGTAGCCGGAATGAACTGCTGAGTACTACCAGGGCTGAGAACAGACCCCGGTGCGGCACGGCCGGCCAGCCAGAGGGCAAGCGGCCCAGCTTGGAGCCAGTCCACAGGCCGGCTGAATCCCTTAGGGCAACCGAAGGCCCAGGGGTCGGATGTGGCCCCCGAGGGTCAAGACATCCTTCCCCCAGCATTGGGGGCCCGGTGTTGGCACTCCAGCCCTGTGCTCCCTCTCCCACCGACC